AAATAGAAAAGCTGAACAGACCTATAACCACTAAGGAAATTGAAGCAGTCATCAAAAAACAAAAGCCCAGAGCCAGATGGCTTCCCAGGGGAATTCTACCAAACCTTTCAAGAAGAATTAATACCTATTCTTCTGAAACTGTTCCAAAAAATAGAAATGAAAGGAAAACTTCCAAACTCATTTTATGAGGCCACCATTACCTTGATCCCAAAACCAGACAAAGACCCCATCAAAAAGGAGAATTACACACCAATATCCCTGATGAACATAGATGCAAAAATTCTCACCCAAATACTAGCCAATAGGATCAACAGGACATTAAAAGGATTATTCACCACGACCAAGTGGGATTTATCCCTGGGCTGCAAGGTTGGTTCAACATCCACAAATCAATCAACATGACACAATACATTAACAAAAGAAAGAACAAGAACCATATGATCCTCTCAATAGATGCAGAAAAAGCATTTGACAAAATACAGCATCCTTTCTTGATCAAAACTCTTCAGAGTACAGGGATAGAGGGTACATACCTCAATATCATAAAAGCCATCTATGAAAAACCTACAGCGAATATCATTCTCAATGAGGAAAAACTGAGAGCTTTCCCCCTAAGGACAGGAACGCGGCAGGGATGTCCACTATCACCCCTGCTATTCAACATAGTATTAGAAGTCCTAGCCACAGCAATCAGACAACAAAAAGAAATAAAAGGCATCCAAATTGGCAAAGAAGAAGTCAAACTCTCACTCTGTGCAGATGATATGATACTTTATGTGGAAAACCCCAAAGACTCCACCCCAAAACTGCTAGAACTCATACAGGAATTCAGTCAAGTGGCAGGATATAAAATCAATGCACAGAAGTCAGTGGCATTCCTATACACCACCAACAAGACAGAATAAAGAGAAATTAAGGGGTTGATCCCATTTACAATTGCACCCAAAACCATAAGATACCTAGGAATAAATCTAACCAAGGAGACAAAGGAGTACTCAGAAAACTATAAAATACTCATGAAAGAAATTGAGGAGGACACAAAGAAATGGAAAAACGTTCCATGCTCATGGATTGGAAGAACAAATATTGTGAAGATGTCAATGCTACCTAGAGCAATCTACACATTCAATGCAATCCCCATCCAAATACCATCCACTTTTTTCAAAGAAATGGAACAAATAATCCTAAAATTTGTCTGGAACCAGAAAAGACCCCGCATAGCCAGAGGAATGTTGAAAAAGAAAAGCAAAGCCGGCGGCATCATAATTCCGGACTTCCAGCTCTATTGCAAAGCTGTCATCATCAAGAAAGTATGGTACTGGCACGAAAACAGACACATCGATCAGTGGAACAGAATAGAGAGCCCAGAAATGGACCCTCAACTCTATGGTGAACTCATCTTTGACAAAGCAGGAAAGAATGTCCAATGGAAAAAAGACAGTCTCTTCAACAAATGGTGTTGGGAAAACTGGATAGCCACATGCAAAAGAATGAAACTGGACCATTTCCTTGCATCACACACAAAAATAGACTCCAAATGGTTGAAAGACCTGAACGTGAGACAGGAGTCCATCAAAATCCTAGAGGAGAACACAGGCAGCAACCTCTTTGACCTCAGCCGAAGCAACTTCTTCCTAGAAACATCGCCAAAGGCAAGGGAAGCAAGGGCAAAAATGAATTATTGGGACTTCGTCAAGATAAAAAGCTTTTGCAAAGCCAAGGAAACAGTCAACAAAACCAAAAGACAACCGACAGAATGGGAGAAGATATTTGCAAATGACATATCAGATAAAGGGCTAGTATCGAAAATCTCTAAAGAACTCATCAAACTCAACACCCAAAGAACAAAGAATCCAATCAAGAAATGGGCAGAAGACATGAAAGGATATTTCTACAAAGAAGACATCCAAATGGCCAAGAGACACATGAAAAATTGCTCAACATCTCTTGGCATCAGGGAAATCCAAACCAAAACCTCAATGAGATACCACCTCACACCAGTCAGAATGGCTAAAATTTACAAGTCAGGAAACGCCAGATGTTGGCGGGGATGCGGAGAAAGGGGAACCCTCCTACACTGTTGGTGGGAATGCAAGCTGGTGCAGCCATTCTGGAAAACAGTATGGAGGTTGCTGAAAAAGTTGAAAATAGAGCTACCATACGATCCAGCAATTGTACTACTGGGTATTTACGCCAAAGATACAAAAGTAGGGATCAGAAAGGGTACGTGCACCCCGATGTTTATAGCAGCAATGTCCACAATAGCCAAACTGTGGAAAGAGCCAAGATGTCCATCGACAGATGAATGGATAAAGAAGATGTGGTATATATATACAATGGAATATTATGCAGGCATCACAAGAAATGAGATCTTGCCATTTGGTACGACGTGGATGGAACCGGAGGGTGTTATGCTGAGCGAAATAAGTCAGTCAGAGAAAGACATGTATCATATGACCTCACTGATATGAGGAATCCTTAATCTCAGGAAACAAACTGAGGGTTCCTGGCGTGGGGGGTGGGGTGGGAGGGATGGGCTGCCTGGGTGATAGACACTGGGGAGGCTATGTGCTCTGGTAAGCGCTGTGAATTGTGCAAGACTGTTGAATCTCAGATCTGTACCTCTGAAACAAATAATGCAATATATGTTAAGAAAAAAAAAAGAAGAAGATAGCAGGAGGGGAAGAATGAAGGGGGGGAAATCGGAGGGGGAGACGAACCATGAGAGACAATGGACTCTGAAAAACAAACTGAGGGTTCTAGAGGGGAGGGGCCTGGGAGGATGGGTTAGCCTGGTGATGGGTATTAAAGAGGGCACGTTCTGCATGGAGCACTGGGTGTTATGCACAAAAATGAATCATGGAACAATACATCTAAAACTAATGATGTAATGTATGGGGATTAACATAACAATAAAAAATTTTTTAAAAATTTAAAAATTAAAAAAAATTAAAAAATAAGTAATGAGTTTATAGGTTTTTTAAAAGAAATCCTCCTTATGAAGAAGAATTATGCTGTTTCATTTCTGGATTTATGTCTTTAGGGTTCTACTTATCTTTTCTAGAGTAGAAACAGCCCCATTTTAATATTATTTCAAAACTTGCGTTATTTTAAAACTGTGACAGCAAATCTTTTCCTTAAAAATCTTCAGAAGTCAGAAACAATTATTACTTATTGAATTCTAATTTTAAAAATTAAAGAAGCTACAGGAGTTTTTCTCTCTATTTTGGTCATTTTGGATATACTTTGGCAAATTGAATTTAGAAGCTGTTTTTTTGTTTTTGTTTTTTTTACTGTGTGGAATGCCCTTTCAGTTATTTTGTGATGACATATGTATCAGTTTTTATGGCAGTTTCTATGTTGACTTTTGTGTGTGTGTGTGTGTGTGTGTATTCCCCTTTGTGGATTCCCTGTTTCAGAAGTGGAATGTGGGGCTGTAGGAGAAAAGTTATTTTCAATTAAATTTTTTTCCCCTCACATTTATTTGACTGAGTTTATGGAAAAATAAGTATTTTCTATTTAGGTAATTTGTGTTTTCCCAAAATATTTTTACTGTCATTTCAGTTTGCCAATCATGTTCTATCCTAACCTTTCCTTTCTGTGTCTCAACTCCATCTTTACCGTAGTTTGAGAGAATTGAGACTGCTTTTTTGCTCAAACTGATACCCTATAACAATAACACTACTACCTCACAGTGGGTAAGGCTTGGGGTTCATATAACATGTTTGATATGTAGATTTAAGTAAAATTGATATATTTTGTGCTGTATCTTGGTGTTTTATTCTCTCCTTTATATGTATATTGCTTTCTAGCTTATCACATTATTTAGTAATTAGTTCACTAAGATGGAGAAAAGGAGATAAGTCAACATTTCTAGTTGTGGTAATACCAGCATAAAGAAGGAAAATACATATATATATATATACACACACACACATACATACAGACATATACTTTTTTACACTAAAGTATTGCTAAGTGTAGTTTACTCCATAACTTATTGGGTTTAGTAAACATTGGTATATATTAAAATGCTATTCTCTCTTTCTTTATTTTTTTTATTTGAGAGAGAATGAGAAAGAGAGCACATGAGAGGGCAGAGGGCCTGAGGGAGAAGCAGACTCCCTGCCGAGCAGGGAGCCCGATGCGGGACTCGATCCTGGGACTCCAGGATCATGACCTGAGCCGAAGGCAGTCACTTAACCAACTGAGCCATCCAGGTGCCCAATACTATTCTTTATTTTAACAGAAACTACAGAATAATGAAATTGATCTGATGCCAAACTGTCATTCTCATTAATCCATATCCATGTTTTATAATTCTTTGAACATATTAACTGGGAAAAGGGAACTGATTTGTCTTATCAAAGATTATGGTCCTTTTCCATATAGTTTTAAGGAGTTGAAAGTAATTGCCTTTAAAATATTTGGTTAGCAGGGGCACCCGACTGGCTCAGTCAGTGGAGCATGTGACTATTGATCTCAGAGTTGTGAGTTCAAACCCCACATTTGGTTATAGAGCTTACATTAAAAAAAAAAAATTGCCATAAAATATTTGGTTGGCAAATGAAAATACCAAAAAATATTCTAGAAAAGGAAAGTAATAGGAAAGAGAACTACCAGATATTAAAATATATTATAAAGCAACAATATTGAAGCAGTGTGGTAGAAGATTATATGTGTAGATATGGAAGAATAGAAAGAAATATTGTTACTTATACAAATTGGACATATGTTAAAGGAGGCACTATTAAACAGTAGGAAAGAGAATTATTTAATAAATTGTGTTAGAATAACCAGCAATATTGAAGAAAAATACATTTAAACCCACCTCTATACCAGATATAACAAAGTAAATTTCAGATAAACTTAAGTGTGGATAATTACATCATTGAAAATCTAGGAGATAAAAGGACCAAATATTCTAGAATTTCTTTTGCTTTCTATATTAGTTAATAAGACAGAGAATGCAATTCTTTATCTAAAATTTTATTCTGTAGATGCATTGAAAATTATACAGGAGCTCGTTGTGAAGAAGTTTTTCTCCCAAGCTCCAGCATCCAAACTAAAAGTGACCTGTTTGCAGCTTTTGTGGCATTGACCCTTCTTCTAGGAACTCTTATCATTGGAGCCCTCTACTTCCTTTTCAGGTAACCAAAATAGAAACATACTTTGGGGAAAAAAAAGGTAGTTATTGTATTAAATAATTACTAGGTTCTTTAGATCTAGATATTTTTGCAGATAGTGTTTTCTGTTCAAAGTTATCTCAAAAAGAATGAAATCTTGCCATTTGTAATGATTTTGATGGAACTAGAGGGTATTATGCTACGTGAAATAAGTCAGTCAGAGAAAGACAAACACCATATGATTTCACTCATATATTGAATTTAGGAAACAAAACAGATGAACATAGGGGAAGGGAAGAAAAAAGAAATGAAGATGAAAATAGAGAAGGTGGCAAATCATAAGAGACACTTCATTCTAGGAAACAAACTCAGGGTCACTGGAGAGGAGGTTGGTGGGAGTAAGGGGTAATAGGGTGATGGGCATTAAGGAGGGCATTTGATGTAATGAGCAGTGGGTATTATATGGAACTTAGGAATCACTAAATGCTACCCCTGAAACTAATAATATAATGTGTGTTAACTAAATTGAATTTAAATAATTTAAAAAAAGAAAAAATAAAGTTACCTCTCTAATACAGCTATTGTTACTAAATTAATAATTACTTTTTAAAAAAGATTTTATTTATTTATTTGACAGAGAGAGACACAGTGAGAGAGGGAACACAAGTGGGGGTAGTGGGAGAGAGAGAAGCAGGCTTCCCACTGAGCAGGGAGCTTGACGCGGGGCTCAGTCCCAGGACCCTGGGACCATGACCTGAGCCGAAGGCAGACACTTAAAGACTGAGCCACCCAGGTGCCCCAATAAGTCATTTTTGAAATGGTCTTAAATAATCTCTATTTGTTCTTTGTTACTGTCATCAAACATTGGCTCCTGTAAACTAGTTAGGTAGAGCCACATTTACTGAAGTGATCATGCCAAAATACCTAAATATTAGGGCTGGGACTGTCTATCATCCATCTATCTATCTATCTATCTATCTATCTATCTATCTATCTATCTACCTACCTACCTACCTACATGCCTACCTAACTACCTATCTATATTATTATTTTTTTGAGAGAGAGAGTGCAATGGGGGAGCGGGGTCCCAGGGGACCTCATTCCCACATACTCCTCTGCATTCTGACCTTGCCACTCTTATATCAAGAGGTAGTTTATGTCTCTGAATCCTTGAATCTGGGCAGACATTAGGACTGCTTTGATCATAGAATATTGTGGAAATGATGCTGTTCCAGTCTTTAAATGTTCTGGTAGCTTCCACCTCCTGCCACTCATATTTGTGATGCTCTTTGAGAATCAGCCACCATGTTGTGACAAGCCTAAACACCACGAAGAACCAGACTCAGCTGAGCTCCCAGACAACAGCCAATGTCAACCACCAGCAATTTGAGCTATCTCAGACAATCAACTCAGTTGAACCTTTAGTAGAGTGAAGACCTACCTGTCAGTTGACTGCAAGCACAGACCCCAAACAAAAAATGCCCAGCTGTCAACCCACAGAACCATGAGAAAGAAATTGTTTTAATCCACTGAATTGGGTTGATTTATTGTGCACTAGTAAATAACTAGAACACTCATGTTTGGAATTAGGTTTACTCTGACTTTAAATAATGTTTGGAAAAAAAGCTGAATAATGATTTATATATTTTTTCTATCCCTCTAAACATTTTGTCTAATATGCTAAGGAAAAGACCAACTGACTAATTCCCTCATTATTCACTCTAGTGTCAAATTAGAAAGATAGTATTTTATCTGTTACTGGTTGGATAATAAATAGTTTTTGTAACATCAGTCAGGATAGACTAGGTTTGGCTACTGTAATTATCAACCCTCACAATTTAGTGGCTTAATAATATAAGACCCATTCCCATTCATAGTATATAAATATTATAATTTGGCAGTCAGAGTTTTGCTAATCATAGTTACTTAAAGTCTCAAGCTAATGGAACAGGCAATATCTTGAATGATATTGCCTGTGTGCTAGAGGGGAAAGAAGCTTTGAAGGCTGTCATACTTGTATTGATCTATCTGACCAGAATGAGTTGCGTAGTCTTACTCAGTTGCAAGGGGTGTTAGGAAATGCAATTTGCTACCATATGCCTGTAAGATGGAGAGCTAAAATACATATCTAACATAATCAAAGGATTTATTAGGAAATCTAATATTCATTCCACTGGGAATTGTAGTGATTTTTTTTAATCCATAGAATTTTAATATTGCTGTAGTAGTCCAAAACTGAAAGTCCTCTGCTAACCACTGAGTTGTGAAGAACAGATGTTTAATGCCACTAAGCAACAGAGTTTCAGAGGAGACCTTCTAAGTCACAGTAGCCCTGTGGGCTTGAGCCAGAATTTAGCAATATTTCTAGTGTGAAGTACCCTATAGTAGGCTAAGCAATACCTTTTTGGTAGAAAGTATAGATAAGAGAAGGAAAAGAATATATAAGGAGAAGTGGTAATGAATGAAAGGGCAAAAGGAACCTGCAATCACAAATATTATATGGGTTTGCATCATGAATTTGCAGTGTGAATGTTGGTTTGGGGGGTTTGGGTGCCGAGAATGTAAAATAGTGTAGGTTTGAGTGCTCCCAGGTGGTTGACAGGAGCACATGCGAATTAATGCTTAAAGAACCCACTTTCATTCTGTATCTAGAAAAATATCTCACAGTATAAAAAGATTACCAAACAGAAAAGAAAAGAGGCACTATAAATTAGAACACACAAAAGAGGGAATCAGAGAGGGAGGCAAGATGGCAGAGGAGTAGGGGGACCCCGTTTCAACTGGTCCCCTGAATTTAGCTGGATATCTATCAAACCATTTTGAACACCCATGAAATCAGCCTGAGATGTAAGAGTATATATCTGGAAATCTACAAGCAGAAAAGCGACTGCTTTTTGCAAGGTAGGACATATGGAGTCGTGAATCTGTGGGGAGATATCAGAAAGATAAACAGAAAGGGGAGGGAGCCTCCATAAGCTGGCTCCTGGAAAGTGATATAACACTGGAGCACAAAATCGGAACCCTTAGAAATCTGCTCTAGTGAGAGACATCCCTCTCTGAAAGGGGCTCTGGAAATGAAAAGGCAGAATTCTAGGTAGGGAATTATGGTCTCTGGATCTGAGGAGTCACAGAGTGAACTCGGTGCCTGAACCGTAGACTACCCAAGCAGTGGAGCCGGGAAGCCGCTATGGTCAGCGAAGGCATGAGGGGACTCTCAGCTCAGGTCACCATAAACCGCGAGCTGGGCCAGTCAGTAAATCGCTCTTTTCCTGAGCAGCCTGAAAAGGACTGGAACCTAGGGACCGTATACCATCCCCTAGGAGAGGTGAAACAGCTGTGTCTGCGACTAGGCAAAAGCTCGCAGGGCAATAGTGGCCTGGAAAGGACATTAGGGTGGCACCCAGACATGATCCAGGAGCTTTGGGTGCGTGCATGAGCCCACGGCCACTTGCGGTTTTAGAGTCACAAAGGGCTCTTGGTTTTTGGTGTGGTTTTTAGTGCATACAGAAGTGGAGACTGCTGTTTTTGGTGCATACAGAAGTGGAGACTGTTTGTCCTGGAGGGTTTATTAAAGAGGGTAGACTGTGATCTTCCTGCTCTGGACCAGAGGTCTCGGCACAGCCATTTTTGCTCTGATCCTTTTGAAGAGGTTTGGAAAACTTCCAGATAACAAAAGCCACACAGAAGACCAGTTTGCACTGAGCCCGTCCCCCTGACAGGGGGTGGGACAACTCCACCCAGGCAGGGATACCTGAGAAACAGCATGGCAGGCCTCTCTCCCAGAAGACAGACTGGAAGAACAAGTGGACGACGAGCCTATGGAGCCCACAAGTCTATAAAATTCCAGTGCCAGGGAAAATAGTATATTGAGCTCCAGGTGTTGCTTCCTGACTCATTTATTTTTCAGATAAAATTCTCCTTTTGTTTCTTCTTTTTCTTATGCTTTTTCTCCTTTTTTTCTTTTACCATCTTCCCATTTCAACTAGATACTTATACCAACTTGTATTTCATAGTCGCTTTTTAACTTACATTTTTTCACATCTACATGTTATAGATATATGCTTCATTTTAGTACTTTTTTCACTATATAAGTTTTATTTTCCTTGCAATTTGGGGATGTAGTGTCTTCTAACACACAGACATAATTCACCTAGGAGTACCCTGCTTTGTCCACACTGCGAGAATATTGTCTCTCTTCTCCTTCCCCCATTTTAAAATATTTTAATTTTATTCCTGTGTTTCATTTTGGCTTGCTTTGTTTTTCTGTGGTGGCTACCGACCACTCCAGATTTTTCTAGGGTGCATCTTGCTTGGGTCATGGTTGATATTTTGGACTTCTTCATTTGCCCAACCAGTGATCTCTGACCAGAATGACTAGAAGGAGGATCACACACAAAAAAAGAACCCGAGGGAGTGTTCTCTGCCACAGAGCTAATCGATATGGATGTAAGTAAGATGTCAGAGATAGAATTCAAGATAGCAATCATAAAGTTAATAGCTAGGCTTGAAAAAAGCATAAGTGACAATATAGAATCTCTAAGGCCGGAAATGAGATCCAATCAGGCCAAACCTAAAAATGCTATGAATGAGATGCAGTCTAAACTAGATACTCTAAAGCTCAGGTCAATGAGGTGGACGAGAGAATAAGTGATCTAGAAGACAGGCTGATGGAAAGGAAGGAAATTGAAGAAAAGAGAGAAAAACAACTCATAACACATGCAGAGAGACGTAGAGAATTTTTTTTTTTAAGATTTTATTTCTTTGACAGAGACACAGTGAGAGAGGGAACACAAGCAGGAGGAGTGGGAGAGGGAGAAGCAGGCTTCCCACAGAGCAGGGAGCCGGATGTGGGGCTCGATCCCAGGACCCTGGGATCATGACCTGAGCCGAAGGCAGTCGCTTAATGACTGAGCCACCCAGGCGCCCCGAGACGTAGAGAATTTAAAGCTACATTGAAAAGGGTAGAGAGAGCACTAGAAGATATATTTGAGCAAATCATAGCTGAGAACTTCCATAATCTGGGG